GTACCAGCCCCTAGCAGACCCTTCAGTGGATTTTTAGAGGCTATAAATTGTGTGGAAGGAGATTGTCCATCTTTGTGGAGCAGCTGGTGGATTTGAACCACATGCCTTTGGATTGGCAGAAAAAATCCTTACCACTAAGCCACCAGAGGACTCTATTATAATACTATTTTTAAAAATTGTTTTATATGTACATTTTTTTCCTTCTCCCTCCCTCCACCCACCAAACTCTTCGACCCCATGATTTTCATCCCCCACCCCAGCCCATTTCCCACCTTTAGCCCACCTGCCCCTCCCCTCCCCTCTTTGTATATTCATATACATCTCACTGATTATCCTCCTATTATATTATTGGTTAGCATAATCAATTATAATGAACCCCTTATTATGTATTCCCTTTCCTTTCCCCCAGCTTATCAGTTTTTTCTCCTCTCTCTGCCTTTTAACCTTCAAAATGGATTCAGTATGTAAATCTTAGCCTTTTATAATAGATGTATATTACGCCTACAAACTTCTTCAGAAAAGCTAAAAGAAAGAACATTTCTGACTTCTTTTATGAGGCCACCATTCTACTGATAAGGATATAGAAAAAACAGTGTAAGAAAACTATAAATCATTATCTCTCATGAACCTAAGTGAAAAAAAAATTCAAATAAAATTTTAGCAAATTAAATTCAACAATATAGAAAAAAGCATATTATATCATGATTGATTTCCAAATATTAAGGAAATCTTACATCCCTGGAATAAATTCCATGTTTAGTATTTGAAAATAAGTTCATGTTCTCTACATTGTTGTTGTAAATGCAAAACAGATAAAAAAATGCTATTCGGTCCTATGTCATCCACATGATTTAGGTCAAACCAAGGCGATCTACAGAGTTTTCAATGACTGGTTTTTTATTTTTATTTTTATTTTAATTTTATTATTTTTGTGTGTGTGTACCGTCAAATCAGATCTGACTGGTACAGGAGGAGATTGTCCCTCCTTCCCCGGCAGAGTATCTGGTGGATTCGAGCCATGCACCTCTGAGATTGTTGCAGCTCTTTACCACTAGGCCACCAGAGCTCCCCTCAATGACTGATTTTTCAGAAGCAGTTTTCCAGGTCTTTCTTCTTGGTTCATTTTCGTCTGGAAGCTAAGAGCACGATTTTGTTTTGTTTGGCTTTTTAAAATTATTATTGGTCTACATATTGTTTCCCTTACATTAAATTTTTTTTTTAAGATCCCTAAAAACAACCAAGTCAATGTTTTTATTTATTTTTTAAAAATAATTTTAATGAGCATTTACAGAGATTTTGGATTTCCATTCATTC